CAACATCCTCCACAACTAGATTGAAGAACAAAACGACAGCAACTTGTCTGTTCCCCTTCCCCCAATTCCCCAGCACTGTTCCCATCTCCCCAATTGCCCAATAAAAATCTTTAAAAAAAAACAAAACAAAAAAAAAAACCTTCCACTGGGGTAACTGCAAGATTGAAAAAAGAATATTTGTTTACTTACATCTATATTTCAAACAATTTTTATAACTCTTCAAAATATCCAAAAGCCAATCCCAATTATGGAAAAGATATAGCTATTCAGATGGACGGAGGGAGAAAGAGTGGAGAAATACCTACCAAAATGTTAATAGTAATTATAAATAGGTTTAACTTTCTTATTTTACTTTACTGTGTTTTCTGAAGTGTTCTACAATATATATTACTTGTACCAGCAGGAAAAGTTATTTTAAAATAATCAATACAACTGTCAAGAAGCTATAACCTAACTAGAGTTTCTATTAAATGGCAATTTGTTTTGATGAATATGATCAGTATTTACTGCTATTATATAGACAGCGTATTTTACGAAATTCTATAACTGATCACTGGATTAAAATGTAGAGCTGGAGTTTTGTTTTTTTTTAATGAGAAAGTGTTTTATTATCCAGAAAGGGCTGAAGAAACCCTAGGCAGTGCATACTAACTGTATTTCCCTAATTTCCCAGGAGTTAAAAATACAGAGTTTAATTGAACTTTCCCTTTTCCATTGAATTCCGTATAATAAAAATATTAAAAGAAACATACATATCTAATAATTGGCTGATATGAGATTACCAAATTCAACAAATATCACTGTAACTTAAAATGGACAATAAAAATAAGAGATGTTTTTATTATTCCCTATTACTTATATGATCCAGTTTATTCTATGAAACATTTTTCATGAATGTAGCTTCCAGATTTAAAATGTTTGTAAATTAATAAACAAAACCTACATTGAGAGCAATCGGGATGATGTCATTGATATTGACTTTGTCAGGAGAACTCGTGCAAGCTTCAATGCCTTCATCTGAAAGGTACCTGTGAAAATAAAATAAATGGCTTAATATTTTCTACAATCAAAATTAACCAAAATTATTTTTAAGTCAACATGCAATTTTGTTCCCTACTATGAATTTTTTCTACAAATACTAGGGGAAGAGTCTTGGGCAGTCTCTGTTTATTTACAATCTCTGGTAGAACAGAATGGACAATGTGTGTTTTTCCTTCTTTGTTTCTTTAAAGGGATATTGTGTTAATACAATTGTCCACATGCTTTCCAAGAAAAGCTATTTAATCATCAATACGCTTCTTAAGGAATGCATAAGCTACTCTTTACTATTACATAAATATAGTATCTGACTTAAACATTTGATAATCCAGTAAACTCTTAGAGATTGAGATGTGCTGTAAGAACCGAGCTAAAAACAGCATAGTTTTAAACTTAGTCCACTCTGCCACTTTCTCACACATTATCTTCTCACGTCCTCTTTCTTTACCATCACATTCTCAGGAATCGTTCAACTATTGACTCCAAGTGGCACAAAGATGGGTAATTTTTTACCTTATATCTTTTACTTTTCCTGGCTCTTTTCAGTTTTTCTACTCATTGTCTTATTGCCCTTTGTTCTTTTATCCAGTCCAAACCCACCACACATCTGTCGCAGACAATAATGAATTCAAGGTTACTGAATCTGAGGGAGGTGGGGTGATCATCTGTCTCCATTCATTTATCCATGCACAGCATGGCCACTCTGAAATTCTTTGACAAAGTCTAAAATTCAGGTATCATCCCCCCAAAGGTCCACTATAAAAATGCCCGCTAGCATTCGACATGTTTTGTAACCACCTCCCTTAACCAAAGGGCTGGTGCCAGCACTGGTGCCACCACTGCAGGCATTCCCCCACTAAAAAGATACAGAAGTCCTCGTCTGACAGAGCCAACTCAAGCTCAATGCTGATGGCCAGCAGTTCCACCATCAACCTGCAAAAACAGACTGATTCGGAGACACCTGTCAATACAAACGGTGCTTGGAGACGGCAACCAAAGGGCATGTGCCTTTAGGAAACACAATGAATGATTTCTCAAAAGTAATAGAAGAGCAAGTGAAAAGAAGAGAAAGTGAAAATTGAAGAGTGTAAAAGAACTACGGGAGGTTACAGTTGATATGCCTATGAACAAGATCAAGTAGAGAAAATCAGGAAAGCATATACACTCGTATAAAACAAAGCAAAAATGTGTTAGCAAATTAGATACTATTAAAAGTCTAAAACCATGGCAGTGCTAAACTACAATGCTGAATGAAGGCAAGCAGTTAGGTGGGTTACAGAGGAAAAATAGTGTTAGGTATGTAGATGAGTCAGTAAGAATAAATGAACGGGAGGTAGTTATAATAATACATAAGTGACCATGGGATACAAATGTTTGCGGTCAGCACAGATGGCTAGCTAGAACATTGCTTTAATTCAAAATGTCTAAGTTAACTTCCTTATGATCCTGTTCATTTTGCACTATCATAGCCTTTGACTGCATCTGTCATTAATCATCTTACAAACTCAGTTCCACAAATATTAATTATTTATGTGAAAAATATTATGTAAATCAATAAAATTAGTAATGAAAATTAAACACCTTCCTTCAAGGAGTATACAGTCTTACACAGCATAACACAATACATAAACAGCTATCATACAAGGCCAAAATAATAAACAAAATGTTTTAGGGGCTCAAAGTGGCTGGGGGATGGGAAAGAATGTATAGAAAGAGCATAGTATGAGCAAAAACATGGAAGTAAAAAATTGTGAAGCACTTTCTACAGGTAATAAACTGGAATATTCTGACTAGAAAATGGGGAAAAACTGAGAAATAGGTATATGTAGGTTGACACATATTTTAGAAAGCAACAGTGTACAATGAAATATGGGTGATATATTAAATGCTAATTACAAAAACACAACTTTCAGATTTCCTACATAATGGGGAAATAATATGCAATGTTTAATAAAATACTTTGTTTTCTATACAAGCAACACTTTAGAATTAAAAGATTACAGGATGTCAGAGAAACTAGAATAGATCCTTAAAAATAATCAAAATTCACCTCTTCAATTTTACAGATGAACGAAAAAAGGCCCTCGTATGTTACTTAAACTTGTCCCAAAATACAAACTTAAGCGATGCAAAGTTAAAACAAGAATGCCTCTTGCCTCCCAGTTCAGCAGTCTTTTCATTACAACACACCGTTTTTATTTATCAACCAATGCTAATACTAGGAATATGATCTTCTCATAAACATAAGCCAACACAAATCAGTTTCCTGGTCAACTGGACATTTCACCAACACACACAAAAAGCAAAACCAGGGCCGGCTGAGTGGCTTAGTTGGTTAAGAGTTAGCTTAACAGTGCGAGCTCTGAGCAACAGGGCCACTGGTTTGATTCCCACATGGGCCAGTGACGCTGTGCCCGAGCTGAGCTGCCGCTGAGCTGCCAACAGGTAGCAGGATGGCTCAGCTGGTGAGAGCATGTGCTCCTAACAACAAGACTGTCTGTTCCATGGTGGGCTACGCCCACCCACAACTAAGACTGAATTCGGCACCTTGAGATGAGCTGCCACCCGGGTAGCTCAGTGGATAGAGCGTGGGCTCTTAACAACAAGGCTGCCGGTTCGACTCCTACATGGGATGGTGCCTATGCCCACCTGCAACTAAGACTGAACTCAGCACCTTGACCTGAGCTGCCACCCGGATGGCTCAGTGGATAGAGCATGCGTTCTTAACAATAATGCTGCTGGTTCGACTCCTGCATGGGATGGTGGCTATGCCCACCCGCAACTAAGACTGAACACAGCACCTTGAGTTTAGAGGTCACAAGCTGCCAACGGGCAGCCAGACAGACGGTGACTGGCGACCTCCACAACTAAGACTGAAGAACAACAACTTGGCTGGTCCCCTTCCCCAATGCCCCAACACTGTTCCCCTCCCCTAATTCCCCAATTAAAAAAAAAAAAAAAAGCACAGCCAGGCAAATTCAGTCAGTGAGCTCCAAAATATATTCAAGAAGAACAGGTCTAGTTTTGTAGTAAAGATCAGAGAGCTAATGCTAACAAATAATTAGCGATTCAAAAAATGTTTTATCAATAAAAACACCAACCCCAAATTACCAAATACCAAAATATAAAAAGGGAAAGTCTACCTAAAAAATTCTAAAGGCAGAAGCCCTAACAGGGTGAAAATCTGGCTTTATTAAAGTATATGTCAAACATCATGTGATTACTTTCAAATAATTCCTATAAAAGACCTCTTGAATATAACACATTCTAAAATATGGCTCAGTCTCAATTTACAAGTTTTACAAGTGTCCCTCAGTCATGCTTCATATTTTGAAAAAAAGGACTTGAGCCTTACAACTTACTCGGTATTCACGCAGAAAACAGGAGACCCATTCACACCTCTCCCCGGTGACATCTTGGTCATCTTTCTGTAAATAGTGGACCATATTCACAGGAGGACTGAATCTAAACTAACCATAACTTGGGATTTATAAAATTTGGGGTTGGTTTTGTAAACATTTAAAACTCCAATATTACCAATGAGTACAAGAAGGGATAAAAGTAAGTCTAACGCCCAAATATTGGCTTCAAGAGAGACCACAGTAACGCAGTGACTGACAGAATAGACGACACAACATTCCCCGGCGGCCATAAAGGGGTCACCGAGGGAGAAAGCAGCTGAGAATGGAGCAGGCACAGACCCAGCCCCGGGGCACATCCGCACAGCACAGGGGGCTGGAGGGAAGAGAATCCTATCAGTTCCCCTGTGCCATCTTTCAGCATGTAAAACTCAAGGGCATGGACACTAAAGAAGAAACAAACCCCAGAGGGGTCTTGTTTACTGAAACAGCCAGCAAAGCACAGATTTTTTTTTTTCCTTCTCTAATGGAGATTTTGGAAAAGTAACATTACAAAACCACTCAATCATCACTATGATGAACTAAAAATACATCAGAATACATGTTATTGGCAAGCAGGGCACTAAAGGGCTCAATTTCGGCATGATACAGAATAGATGAATATTTTTCACTAATTTTACCTTCACATAATGCCACTTAAAATCACAATTTATTAAGTGCCCAGATTTTTAAAATAAGATTTTAGAAAGTGCTTCCTTTTTTCTTAAATAGATGTTAAAATTCAGTCTTTCTCAGAGTCACTTAATTTGTAATCCTGAGCAACTCTTTTTACTTCAGAAGTACAAGCTTTAACATTAATTAGTATCCACCAATTTGGGGAGAGGAGGTTTTCCATCGCAAATAATGAATATGTATTCTATAGGAAGGGTCACTCTGCCTAAGTGCCTCTTGCTCCGTTCAGAAGTCACGTGGGCATATAAAACACATGCGCCCAAACTACAGTTCAACTAACTCAATTCGCAGAAAACTGTAACAAAACAAATACAGTAAAACCTTGGATTGTGAGTAAGTTGGTTTGTGAGTGTTCCACAAGATGAGCAAACATTTCTAATATATTTTAATGTGGTAAACACGCGATGTCTTGCGATACGAGTAGTTTGCTTCCAGAACGAATTATGCTCGCAACCCAAGGTATTACTGTACTATCATTTTAATCTCATTTATTTGGTCCGGACAGTGGGTCACCATTACACGTCTTACTACCAGCAAGGGAAAAGGAGAGCCAACTTTCCTTTTACCCACTCCTCCGAGAGCAGGTAAAATCTGGAGTCTAACTTCTCCGCTGGCTCTAATGAGCATACTGAGGGGATGGAGACAAACTGAACAGGAGAACCTGCCCTGGCGAAAGGGGGCAGCCGTAACTCAGCTCCAGGTGACACTAGGGGGACAGGAGAAGCAGTTATTGGCAGATCTCCTCATTTTTAGCTTTTAATGCTTTTGTCAAGCAATGTACAAGCCGAACAAAACACGTTTCAGCCCGCAAGTGGCGCACACACTTCGTACTTTCTAATCGTGTTAGCGTATCGAGGTTATCTGCTTCTTCGCTCTGGTCCACTTCTAAGTTGTCTTTG